AAAAATTAGCTGGGCGTGGTAGCACGCGCCTGTAGTTCCAGCTACTTGGAAGGCTGAGGCGGAAGGATCGCCGGCACCCAGCAAGTGAGGCTGCGGTGGCTGGGAGCGGCCACTGCACTCCATTCTGGGTGACAGAGTGAGACTCCAACTCAAAACAACAACAACAACAAAAAACAAACAAAAAAGAAAGTTTAATGCTACATATGTGGCTCACATATATTTCTGTTGGACAGTGCTGATTTAAAGTCTTGCTTAAAGTTGGTCCTGAGTGTGTTTTATTAGCACAATTTTTGAATATGTTCCTATATTTCTCCAGTAAGCCTTTTTTTTTTTTTTTTTTGAGTCAGGGTCTCACTCTGTTACCCAGGCTGGAGTACAGTGACACGACCACGGCTCTGGGTGATCCTTCTGCCTCAGCCTTCTAAGTAGCTGGGACTATAGTCACGTGCCACCATGCCCACTAATTTTTTAAATTTTTTTGTGGAGATGAAATCTTGTTATATTGCCTAGGCTGGTTCCAAACTCATCAAGCAATCTTCCCGCGTTGGCCTCCCAAAGTGCTGGGATTACAGGTGGGAGCCATTGTGCCTGGCCTCCCAATAAAGTCCTACTTGAAGTTGGTTCAGCATGATCTTAAGTGTTTTTGTTAGGATAATTATGAATGTGTCGATTTTTTTAAAACATTTTTTCAATTAAAAAATTTTAATTTAGAAATAATTTCAAGCTAATAAAAAATGCAAAAATAGTATAAACAACTCTTGTAACCTTTAACTAGATTCATCAGTTGTTAACATTTCTCCTATTCAGCATTTGCTTTATCATTTATTCTATTATCATTGTATTTTTTGCTGAACTATATGAAAGTAAGTTGCAAACATAATCCCCTGTACCCCTGAGAACTTACACATTTTCTTTTTTTTGTTGAGTTGGAGTCTCACTGTCGCCCAGACTGGAGTGCAGTGACTGCTCCCGGCCACCGCAGCCTCGACCTGCTGGGCTCCGGCGATCCTTCCGCCTCAGC